ATTAATGCCACTATTTACTATTATTAAGTCTGGTAGCAACTTTCGACGAGAAGCCTCTTCTATGAGCATAACTCTTGTAAAAACATGTAAATTCATCTTGGTTCTGGAAACGCAGGTGATTCCACGTTGAACTGTCTGATGGGACGATGGTTGATACAAAACCTGTAAATAAAGAATAGATGCATTAGCAAATCGAACTATTTATCAAATTACTACGGAAGATGGTTGATACCACTAAATCACAAATGACTACCACTAAGGGAGTACCACTAGATGACTACGTGTCTACTAGTACATGACTACCACTAGATGATTACCAGTACATGACCCGTATCTAGGTACCACTAGGGAAGTACCAGTAAATTACTACGCCTAAATAACTACCACTAAGCGAGTACCACTAGATAACTACATGTCTACCAGTACGTGACTACTCCAAGATGATTTCCACTAGGTGCCTACCACTACAACAATAATACCACTAACTAATTTGAACCATAACTACTGGTACATTTTTGCAGAAACATTATATGTACCACTAATAAAACGGTACAAATGCAACGAAAGTCGTAACGACACAGGTTAACCCTACTACCATTGTTGCCGTCGACGCCATTCTCCGCCACGCCGGCGTCTGAATCAGCTTCATCACCTGATTGGGGTACGAAATGGTCGTTGTTCTCCACGTCGACGCCATATTGGACGTTGTTCGTGATTTTGTCCCGTTCCGGATGGTTTTCGTTGACCAGCTCCTCCACGTCTAAAATGTCGCCATCATCGCCATTCTCCGTCGGGTCCGACTACTCAGCTCCGATCTCATATATATTCTCGTCGTTGCTTGTCAATGGGACGTTCAGGTCAAAGCCGAATAAACAACTAGGTTCGGCTCAACCCCATTCACCGTCGTCGTCGTTGCTTGTATGGCGGCAGCCGCCGCTGGTATTTTCTGGAGCTACTGATGCCTGGTTTGATGAGGGGTCTGGTTTGACGAGGGAGAACCCAAAAATGGAAAGGAAAGAGTCCCAGCCGAAAGAGGCTCTTCACCTCCCTCCAATCACGCTACAAGATTTTCTCCATGCATTTAAGTGGTAATTCAAAATTATTAGAATTAAAAACTTACTAAAAAGCCCTTCTTGTGGTCCTGACTGCCGGATGAAAAAGGATGATGGACGACAAAAATAGGGGAAGCGAAATTTACAACCCTCTAAAGGGTTGTCACGCTATCCGGCCCCTGTGAATTGTGAGTGTGAAGTCTTTTACTTGTGTGTCAAACTTCACTTTCCAATTGTCAATTGGAAAAAAATCTTCGATGGATGGCCCATTAGGCTCGATCTGGCTCAAGATAGGGTGAGTAACCTTTAGGGTGAGTAACAATGAGTAACCAAATCTGGACCCTTCTTTTAAGTGACTGCAGATCTAAGGGTGGAGAATTAAGGGAATTTATTTTCCCTAGTTTTCTTAATTGGATCATATCTTCTTCATTCTAACTCGGATTTCAATTTTTTTTTAACAGATGGAACGAGTTCGTTGTGCTCTACAAAATGATATCCATTTTCAATATTTTTTGAGAATTTTTTTTTCATCCCTCTCGTTACCAACTCCATACCATATGGTATCTCCTTCGTTGTTTAGTCATTTTCGGAATTTTTTGCACAAAAGGAACAATTTAATCACGATCTATTGGATTTCAAAATTTTCTGGTGGGGGGGGGGGAATTTCAAACCTCTCGTTACCAACTCCATACCATACTATACCACCCTGGTATGAGGTGGTATTTTTCATACCATATGGTATGTTGTTATTTAATACCATATGGTATTGACCTGTATTAAATAACAACATATGATATTGACTGGTATTTTCATACCATATGATATGCTGTTATTTAATACCAGTCAATACCATATGGTATTGACTAATATTATATGGTATAGACTGGTAATAACTGACAAATTTTTTTGTTCCAAAAAATATCAAAGTGGATATCATTTTGAAGAGCACAATTAATCTGATCTAACTGTGCAAAAAAAAAAAATTAAATTCCGAGTTAAAACGAGTGAGAAATCGTCCGTTAAAGATTAAGAGAAAGAAAATTAATGGTTATTCCATAAGAGAGAAGGAGGCGCTGATGTGGCAGATTCTTATTGGGTTATGCATGGAGTTACTCACCACAAGATTACTCACCGGATCTGCTCCCGCTCGATCTTGGGGGCAACGGATCAGGTCAGTAACCTTATGGTGAGTAACTATGAGTAACCCGCCCACATCAGCATGACATCAGCATCCTCTCTCTCCTGGAAAGCCTTTAATTTTCCCCTCTTTAATCTTTGACGGAAGATTTCTCACTCGTTTTAAGTCGAAATTTAATTTTTTTTGCACAGTTAGATCAGATTAATTGTACTCTTCAAAATGATATCCACTTTGATATATTTTTTGAAAAATAAAAATTGAGCCATTTTTTACTAGTCTATACCATATGGTATTGACTGGTATTGAAATAAGAGCATACCTATGGTTTGAAAAGCGTACCATGGTGGTATGACACAAATCAAAATTGTAGGATGCTTGAATACATGATAGTAGAAGTATATTAATTGTCATTTACGACTTTTAACATTGTATACCATAAGATACCACCCCGTACCAAGGTGGTATTGTATGGTATTGTGTGGTATTTTTTGGTCTTGTAATTTGTTCACCCAGACATTTGTAGATCCAATAGATCATAATGAACTCGTCCTTGCTGTGCAAACGTTTTCAAAAACGAATTAAAAACGAAGAAGATACCATATGGTATGCAGTTGGTACCGAGAGGCCAAAATTTTTTGTCCTCAAAAAATATTGAAAATTGATCTCATTTTGTAGAGCACGATGAACTCGTTCCATCTGTGAAAAAAAATAATAATTAAAATCCGAGTTAAAACGAAAAAGATATGAGTCAATTAAGAAAGCTATTGAAAATAAAAATAGCTTTTAATTCTTCATCCTTATATCTGGATTTTCTAAATGAAGGGTCCAGATTTGGTTATTGATAGGTGCATAACTCATGGTTATGCTCCCTAACTTGAGCCGATCTTGGGGCCTTGCTGGGTTTTCTTCCAGTACACAGCACGATGGGCCTTGGTTCTCAAAGTTTTCCCAAAAGGCTTGCGGGTTTAAAGGTCTGGACAATATTCGTTAGGGTTGGGTCTGTATGAACTTATTATCTGGATATCCCTCTTGATTTGGTCGTGTTCTTATGTGATTTTATTTTGTTCAAAATTTTGCAATTGTAATTTCAATTGAGTGGAATATTGATGCATAATTAATGAATTTGTGGTGGATATGTTGCAAATTTCAATTGGTTGATTGTTGCGTTATGGTGAGTTAGGTGGCATGTTATAGTTAGTGGTTCTGTTTGATGAATTTGTGACTGACAGTCATGGTGGCAGATTGACGGTGCGAGTTTCATCGGCTTTGATGCGGTATGTATTATAAATTTTGTTTTGGTTAGTTCTACGAGCATATAGTTGACCATCATTTCTGTAGAGTTACGGGTAGTATGAGACGCTATGATATGGTATATTGTTAACTCATGTTTTTTTATCAAATTTTATGGTAATTGCAATTGGGGTTTAATGAGTGTTGATGGTGAGACGTCTTATAATAGGAGTGGAGCCCTTCTGCAAGACTTTTGATGATTGTTTTCTACTTCAATTCGGCTATTTATCGATTGCCACATATGATTTCTCAATTCTTCGTAACTATATATCTACGAAAAAGAAAAGTTTTCTGTATCATCCGATAACCTAGTCATATACCCGGTTTACAACTGTACCGCCAGCTCTGTTAGGAAAACAAAGAAAAAGAAATGCAACCTCTTGGCCTTAGCAATTAGCATCATGCTTGGTGACGCCGATGTTATACTCCTCCTCACTTCACTACGGAGCATACCATGACAAATATAAGGAAACCGTTTTGTGTTGTTGTAATTGTAAACGAAGATAAGCTAAGAATACCATATGCATAGACAAGAAGACAAGGAAACCGTTCCCAGCGAATCTAGGCTAGAGAGGCAGAGACAATAGTGCACCTAAGTATCATCTAAAGGATAATACCTTAAAATTAAAGGCTTTAAACTTTTCGTATAATTCTTGATGTGAAGATGACATGAATTTTCGAACAAGATCTTGAGATTAATAAAAAAGGAGAAATTAGTAGAGAAGTGACGTAGTCTTAAATACACTTAGCTCTACCAAACTCGTAACAAACTCCATTAACTAGAGAATTGAAATACCATCAATTAGTAACACTATAGACAAATCTAACATTTTACAAAGTATGGGTGGGATCCATAGTTCATAAGTAGAAAAACCAACTTTAACTGACAAAACGCGCGTTGAGGTAAAGTAAAAAAATTCTTGTAAAAAATCTGAAGTTAAACGTATTCACTATAGAGCACTCTAAAAATGAATGAACTTATGAGAATCACATTCATATACACCCAAAAAAATTTACGAGACATTAGACCCAAATCAAATAATATTTATTTGAGAAAAGAGTCGGATGATACATTTACCATTCAACTTACTGATATTTATTTATTTATTCGTTATGCTCATTAACCCCAAACTACATATCAAGTCCACGTCAACTGAAGGGCCCCATCTCCACAGCCTCCCAGAAACTGATCGTCTATTAACAAGTGACGGCTACCAATTTGTATAAAGACTTACCAAAATCAAACAACCTTGGATTCTCAAAAAACCAAACATAGAAGCAAGGGAAGAGATATAATAATAACAAAATAATTACTGTTTCGCAAGTTCTCATCGCCGGCGACAGGACGTTCCAAGAGATATGGAACAGCCACCGGAGATCCAAGTTAAAGTTTTGGGTAAGTCCTTAACTAAGACTACAGAGATATCGAGAAACGGTTTGTTACCACGGTCTAATTAAGATATATACTTATACCCGCAGGTGATGATGAAGAGTCGCCTGCCGGAATTAACAGCGTGACGATGATAAAGCAGAGCAGCCGGAAAGTGTACTGGCGGTGGCTCAAAATCGCACTCTACACGTTAAGCGTCCTGTTGGGCCAATCCGCCGCGCTTCTCCTCGGCAGGCTCTACTTCCTCAAGGGAGGCAGCAGCAAATGGCTCTCATCAGTCGTCCAAGTCATTGGCTTCCCAATTCTCATCCCATTCTACCTCCTCACAACAACAACAACAACAACAACCGCCGACGACGGCGGCGGCAATAAACCACCACTTCCGTCTCCCTACACGCTCGGCGCAATCTACGCATCCCGCGGCCTGCTCGTCGGAATCTGCACCTTCCTCTTCTCCGTCGGCCTCCAGTACCTCCCCGTCTCAACTTACACGCTCCTCTGCGCTTCCGTACTAGCATTCAACTCCTTCTTCTCCTACTTCATCAACGGCCAGAAATTCACCCCTTTCATCGTCAATTCCCTCGTCTTGCTCACCATTTCCTCCGTCCTGCTCGTATTTAACAACGAGGAATCTGCTTCCTCATCGGCTCCGAACAGGGGAAACTACGTTGTCGGATTCCTCTGTACATTGGCAGGATCGGCTCTGTTCGGCCTGCTGTTGTCCGCCACGCAGTTCGTGTTCGTTAAGGTTATCAAGCGGCAAACTTTTAAGCATATGATGGACATGGTAATCTACGAGAACGTGGTTGCCTGCGGTGTTACTGTGGTGGGACTTTTTGCTAGCGGGGAGTGGAAGGAGCTGGGGAGGGAGATGGGCGGCTATGAACTGGGGACGGCGTCGTATTTGATGACGTTGATTTGGGTTGCTGTGTTCTGGCAGATGTATGCTCTGGGAGCTATGGGCTTGATATTTGAGGTGTCTGCTCTGTTCTCGAATTCGATTAGTGTTGTGGGGCTGCCGATTGTGCCGGTTGCGGCGGTGTTCTGTTTTCGTGACAGGATGAGCGGGGTGAAAGGGGTTTCTATGGCTTTGGCGGTATGGGGATTCGTTTCGTATATGTATCAGTGTTATTTGGATGATCGGAACTCCAAAGTTGTCACTAAGTCAGTTGATGAGACCTCTCCTCGGATGAGTTCATAATGAAGATTTCTAATAAGAGTGTTTTATTTGTAACTAATTGAGGTACGTACTTACCCTACTACAGGTGTAAGTTTCGCAACATGAAATTTGAAGGTTTTATTTCTTTCCGAAGAAACACTAATTCATAGATGAATCGTGAGTTCGAGTTGTATTACGTTCTATGTGAAGTGGAGCCGAAAATTCCATCTGATGTATTATTGATGAAAGGGATTTATACAGGGTACTCGATACAATAGGTAAACAAAAAGAGCTAATCCTAAGCAGAAGTGTGTGCAACTAACTGTTGAATATCAGCAACATAATACAAGTAGTGGAGAAGAAACAGTCAACACTAATTATAAGAGATATTTATCCCTATCACGCCCTCGCAAGTGAAACCTAGGAGAGGTGAAATTTGGAACAGAACTTATGGAAGGGAAGCGAACATGGAACTGGCCCTTGGCAACACGATCACGAACAAAATGAAAATCTATCTCCGTATGTTTGGATCGATTGTGGAAAACAAGATTATGAGCTAAGTATGTCGCCCCAAGGTTGTCACACCAAAGCACCGGAGAAGAGGAAATGGGCTGGCCAAGTTCGGAAAGAAGTGCCTGTAACCATATTACCTCAGAGGCAAGAGTAGCCAGTGCCCGGTATTCACTCTCAGTAGAGGAACGCGCCACCGATTTCTGTTTACGAGTAGACCAAGAGACCAAGTTAATTACTCTCGAGAAAAACTGCAAAGCTGGAGACTGATTTCCGATCTTGGGGACAAGAAGCAAAAGAGGCATCAGAATATCCATGTATGTGAAGGCTGGATGAGCGATTGAAGACCAGACCACGTGTGATAGTCCCTTGTAAGTAGCGCAAAATGCGCTTAACAGTAGACCAATGAACTTCCTTTGGGGCCTGCTGATACTGGGAAACATGGTTCACAGCAAAGGATATATCCGGGCGAGTGAAGCTAAGATATTGCAGGCCGCCAACAATGCTTCGATATAGCCCATGATTAGAGAAAGCAGCGGATGTGTCCATAGCACACTGTACAATAAGATCACTTGTACATGGAGTAGTAATTGGTTTGGCATCAGCCATGCCTGACCTCTCCAGAATATCACATACATATTTGGAATGATTGAGTAGAATACCAGTGGAAGTCTTATGAACCTCCAACCCAAGGAAATAGGATAAGTCGCCAAGATCACGAAGGGCAAATCGAGTGTGCAGAAAAGAGAGTAGGCGCTGTAGAAGGTCAGAGTTATTACCAGTGATAACAATATCATCAACGTACACCAGCATGTAGAGTGTTGTTGTTGAATTGCGGAAGATAAAGAGGGAGGGATCAGTCTTGGAAGCCTGAAAACCAAAGTCATGAATGGCAACAGACAATCATTTGAACCAGCAGCGAGGAGCCTAGCATAAGTCGTAAATGGACTTCCGCAGTTTGCACACATAATCCGGATGATCCTTATCAACAAAGCCTTTAGGTTGCTGCATACAAACTTCTTCTTCTAGGGTGCCATGGAGGAACGCATTGGATATATCCAGTTGGTGAAGATGCCAAGAATGGGAAACGACAATACCCAGGATTAAGCAAGTTTGAGCACGGGACTAAAAGTCTATGTGAAATCGCAGCCGGGAAATTGCTCAAAACCACGAGCCACAAGGCGTGCACGATGTCGTTCGACAGAGCCATGGGAATGAGTCTTAATCGCATAGACCCAACGATGGGAGATGATATTGCAGTTAGGTGGGGGGAGGGGGACCAGATCCCATGTTTTATTGCGAATCAAGGCATGAAACTCAGTCGTCATCGTCGAGTTCCAGTGTGGAGATTATAGGGCTTGGGCGACGGTGGACGGGAGCAAACATGGAGCAGCCGCCAGAAATTGTTTGGGGTTTAGATTCCCAGTTTGCTGGCGTGTGACCATTCATCGCGGAGGAGGAGGAGTAGTAGAGGAAGATGGTATGAGGCGAGAGGAAGTACTGAACCGAGGACGGGTAGACAGGGGAGCTGGAGGAGGTCGAAAGTGAGAGGCAGAGGGTGGGGTAATGGTGGAAGAGGGTATGACGACAATGGATAGGGGCAGAATAGGAGCGGGGGGGGGGGGGGGGCGGGGGGGGGGGGGGGGGGGGCGACGGGTTGGGAGGGCATAACAGGGCGGGCAAGGGTTGGAGAGTCTTGAGGGTTGTGGGCTTCAGTAGTAGGTGGTGGGCCGATAGATGGAGGGTGGGGCGAGGGAGATGGGCCAAGAGGAATAGTGGTAGAGTAGGCAAAAGAATAAGCGTAGTAGGGTCATGGGTTGAGGACTTTGGTTGTGGGCCGGACTTCAGATCTGCAAAAGGAAACACTTTTCGTTAAATCGAACGTGGCGGCTAATGTAGATACGTCCAGTGGAAGGGTCAAGGCAACGATAACCTTTGTGTAGATTACTATAGCCAAGAAAAACACAAGCAACAGAGGGAGGGGCAAGTTTATGACCTACATAAGGACGGAACCAAGGATAACACAAACAACCAAAGACACGAAGATTGTGAACATCAGGATCACGAGAAACAAAGTAGAAAATGGAGTAGTATTTTGAAGAAGAGGTGTGGGAGTGCGATTAATGAGATATTTACATGCAGTGTCAAAAGCAAGAGGCCAATATTTAAGAGGGACATGTGCATGATGTAACATTGCAAGACCATTGGTGACTATATGATAATGTTTACGTTCAGCACAACCATTATGTTCAGGAGTATATGGACAAGAAGAACGATGAACTATACCATGGTGGGGAAGATAAGTTGAAAGCGCCTCATACTCACCACCCCAGTCGGATTGGAAGGATTTTATAGGGAGACCAAAGAACTTCTCAACTAGTTGACGAAACTGGACAAACACACTCAAAATTTGAGATTTATATTGAATAAAATAGATCCAACAGAATTTGCTATAGTGATCATAAAAGAGAACATAATAAGACTGATTATCATAAGACAAAACAGGGACAGGTCCCCAAAGATCACTACATATAAGTTCTAATGGCGCAGTAGCTTTATAACTAGAAGAAGGAAACAAAAGTTTATGAATTTTGCTAACTGAACACCCATGGCATAACGAAGAGGGATTGGGTGCATAATTGATTTGATGATGGGACATAAGATGATGAAAAGCTTGTAGATTTGCGTGACCAAGACGTTGATGCCAAAGATCAAGAGATGCCACAAAAACACGAGGAGAAAATCGACTCGTGATGTGAAGCGGTAGTGAGTAAAGACCGTCAATGGTGGAGTCTCGGTAGAGTTCATGCTTGGTGCGGTGGTCCTTGATAAAGAAATAAGAATAAAAAAATTCAATGGAAATAGGATTAGACCGAGTAAGAGAACTCACCGAAAGGAGATTATGAGGGGCATCTTTAACACGCAATATATTATTCAAAGAAAGAGAATAATTAGGAATGAAAGCTTGAGATGAGCCAGTGTGAGAGATTGGAAGTGTTTTATCATTTCCAAAGGTGATGCTATCAGTGCCATTATATTCGGAATGATGAGCCAAATTGTCCAAATCTGAAGTCAAGTGATGGTTGGCCCCAGAGTCCATGAGTCATTGCTAGGAAGATTGAGCTGGATGGGAGGTTTGGGCTAGGTGGGAAGATGGGCCAAAAGGATAAGAGGAGTGAGCTTGATATAAAGGGCTTGGACAGTTGGGCCGGATATGGCCTCTTCCTCCACAGTTATGGCAAATAGTCTTTGATGGACCAGAAGCCCCAGCTCCAAGTACACCTGCATGCATGGGATAATAAGAATTAAACAGTTGGTTAGAATAAGAGTTGGGCCAGGATTGAGGGTTGGCCGAGAAGGGTTTTGATGGCCATAAGCACCACGACCACCAATACCACTCCGGTCACCCCTTCCTCTTGAATTCCTGCCGTCCCTGCCACGATAACCATCACCAGAGTAGAACGCATGCGGAGAAGCCAGGTCACCAGCACCCGACTGCTAACGCTTAAGTTGCATTTCTTCGCTCAGGAGAAGACTGCTGAGATTATCAAACGAAATAGGCTCAAGTTTGGCTTCCAGATTTCGGGTACAGGGACGGTAAACCTCACCAAGACCATCCATGATAGTGCCAACAAGCTCGGACTCCTTGACAGGGTCACCGAGAGCCGCAAGCTTGTCGGAGATCTCCTTGGCACGCTGCAGAAATTCATGAGCAGATTCGGAGTCGGGGGTCAAGCGACTGAGGGAGCCACGGAGCTGACGTATAATCATCGGTGAAGCATATCCATAGACTTCGGTGAGAGATTCCCAGGCATCACGAGCAGTGGATTTGTTGACAATATTGGGCATCACTGCTTCAAATAAAGAAAATGTTATCCAAATAAGAACCAGCTGATCTCTTTCATACCACTCAACATAAGATGGATTTGGTTGGGAATCGATGGTTGCCGGCGGAGGCAGCACTGTGCCAACAATGTGACCAATCAGCCTGTGACAACGGAGAAGTGGCAGAAGTTGAGTCTTCCATAAGAGGTAATTTGTTGGTGTCAACTTGACGGTCAATTGAGGATTGGACGGGAGAGACAGAGGAATAGCAGAGGCGGAGGAGACAGAAGTAGTAGAAGAAGAGTGTGAGGAAACTGTCGACATTGTACTAGGAATAAGTAGAAGAAAAAGAAAGGGAAGATAGCAGAGAAGAAAAGAGAAAACTCGTTAGAGTCTAGTGAGGCTCTGATACCATGAAGTGGAGGCGAAAATCCCATCTGATATATTATTGATGAAAGGGATTTGTACAGGGCACTGGATACAATAGGTAAACAGAAAGAGCTAATCCTAAGTAGAAGTGCGTGCAACTAACTGGTGAATATCAGCAACAAAATACAAATAGTGGAGAAACAATCAACACTAATTATAAGAGATATTTATCCCTATCACTATGTACATCGTTAGCTTGGAGTCATGTTCCATACAAATGATCTTAATTTGAATGGAGACAACCTTGAGTGGAGCGGGTATATGGAAACAACTGATGA